CAGAGAGTGAAACCGGCCAATCAGAGAACAGGGAGGAAGAAAAGGACCAATCCAGAGAGACCGACGGGAAGACTGGCCAATCAGAGGAGAGAGAGACTCAAACTGGCCAATCAGAGAACAGGGAGAAAGAAAAGGACCAATCAGAGACAAGAGAAGCAGAAAAGGGCCAATCAAACACTCCGAAAACCCAAGAACCAGCACAGACTGAGGAGAAAACGGACCAATCAGGACCAGCTCTGAGGAGGAGGAGTGAAGCTCAGCCTGACCAATCAGAAGACAGAAAGGAGACAGGACCCGCCTCCTCTGAACAGGTACGATTTTGTTCTTGCAGTTTGTGTTTTTTTCATGTTAATTTTTGTAATTTATGTTTTATTAAAATGATTCAAAGTTCACAATTGAAACACGTCAACAGGAGAGATCCGTGTACGATTTGTTCTGCTGAATTTCAATTAAGAACGAAAACAATAAAATGGGAAAACAGTTTTAATTTCGACCTCCATTATTTGAAGTTCTGCTGCTGAAGGACGAACCTGAAAAAAAATAAATAAATAAAAGGTTGTTTTTCTGTCTTAGAAATTCATTATTAAACTCAAGAAACAAGAAGCAGCGAGAAACTTTGTTCAGTTGAGTTTTAGTTTTAGTAAAGTTTTTATTCTAGATCCATGGTTCACACTGAGCAGCAGAACTTCAAATAAACCAGAGAGAATAAAATATCAACATTCAAATACATTTTAATTGGTTTAATTTGAAATAAACTTTAAATTAAATATTGGAAATAGGTCCGTGTACCAGTCGTTCTTTTGAATTTCAATTAAGAACGAAAAACAGGTTTTTATTTCTTTTTCATTTATTTTCATTTTTCTGCTTTAGTGTCAAAAAAACCAAACAAAACTCTAGTTCCAATATTTAATTTAAAGTTTATTTCAAATTAAACCAATCAACACCAAAAAAACCAGTCTTGGTGCTGAAGGATGAATCTGAAAAAATCGTTGCAGTTTTGTGGACAAACACGTTTCTTCTTTTACAGCAACAAGTTTATTTTCACGTCTTAGAAAGTTATTTTTGATCCATGACGAGAAACAGGAAGCAGCGAGAAACTTTGTTCAGCCGACTCCACAGAACTATGATAAAAATATTTTTTTTTTATTTTGATTTGGTTGAGATGAATCCTGCAGCAAGAGTTTGTGTCCGAGACTTGTTTAGTTTGTTTGTCGTGAGCAGAAGGAGGAGAAAAAGGAGAAAGAGAGAAAAGAGGAGGAGGAAGAGGAAGAGGAGGAGAGGAGGGAGGAAGAGGAGGCGTTTAACTCTCACAGAGCCTTCCTCATCCAGCTCTTCGCCATCGACAAGAATCATGAGCCCAGGTACAAACTCAGACTTTCACATCTTCTCCTCACCCGTCTGAAGTTTCTCTCTTCTCCTGCGTTCAAGACCGAGATCGATTTGTGACGTCACGTTTACATGAGGGATTGAATTCTGAATAAAAATAATTTCATTCTGAATAAAAATGATTTAATTTAGAATAAAAACTTAATTCTGAATAAAAATGAATTCTACTTTAAAAAGTCCAGTTCAATGTTGACACACTTAATTCCTGATGAAAATGATTCTTCCTGTGGGAGCGTTTGGTTTATTCTGATTTTAAAGCTGAGTGAATTTCTTCCTGGATCATGTTTGTGGTTTGTTCTTGTTTAAAATGCTGCTGGTGCTTCATGTTCGTCGTGTCGTCCTTCGATCCGGCTCCTCCAGTCTCGGTCTCGGGACTTTGATCCTCGTCTCTTTGGATTTGTGAGCGGGATGTGGGAGTGGGCCGAGGTAGAGCAGCCTCACACTCACTTTGTCTTCTTCCTCCCTTCTCGGAAAACGCACAATCCTCTGACGATCGTGTCATAATCTGATTGGTTGAAGCATCACAAAAGCAGAACCAGACAAAAAAATCTAATTTTTGATACATCCGAGAGAAAAGCACCAACATGCTCCCGTCCACAAACACATAAAGCTCTTTAATTCTGACATTAAGCCCGTCTCTGTCGCCGTCATTTTGGTTCGTTTTGGTTCGTTTTGGTGCTTTGCCTTTGACTCCGCCCAAATCTCAGTGCTGCTCTGTGATTGGTCGCCCTGTTAAATAGTGTGAGACTCTCGAGATGGATCTTGACATGAGAACAGTCCACTACCATTTAAAACAAATGGACATGTTTTTAAAAAAAAAAAACAGATTCAGAACTGAGGTCACGGAGCAAAGCGTCGCTGTGAAAGAGTTGATTTACGGAAAAGTCTTGAAGAAATCAAAGGATCAAGAACAATAACAGTATTTTAAAAATCCAGTGCAATGTGTTTGCATGTTAAAGAAAACTAAGTTGTTGTGCATAAAAGTGAAGATCTCTGTTTGCAAGTGTTTAATAATTGTGACTGAAATTAAATGAATTGATTTGAAAAGTTTTAAAGTGACTCTCGGTGTTGGCGTTTTGTCTGGAAAAGGGGCAGAGAACGTGAGACGACGACT